AACAACCGTTAAGTATATTGCAGACAAACTTAACGGTTATTTCAAAACAAACGTCAAGTATGTGAAAAAATTTAATTTTTTTTCTACTATTAATTTGACGTTTGTTTATTGAAGACCGACGTGTAAATTTTTGCTTTATATGACGGTTATTTATAAAAAAACGTCAAATATATATACTTGACGGTTATCTTTAAATAACCGTCAATTATTTACTTAAATATTTGACGCTTGTTTCGTAGAAACCGTCAAGTATTCTCCGCCTTTTTTATTTGTCATTTTTTTAAATAAACGTCAATTATAAGGCGTCAATTATACATCTTTCTGTAGTAGTGAATTACCTCTCCAAACAACAATGAATCATCCACAAACTCAAATGATTTAGCTCAGGACCTTCCCCACCAAACCCATATGCCTTCCACTTGCCAGCCAATTTAGCATCACTAATCAAATGCATCAACTTTTCTATGATTAATACAAAGATATAAGGAGACCCTTCTTTAACCCCCAGCTGATAGGATAAAAACAATCCCCCAACACTTCCATTCCAAATAATTCTTGTGTTAACAGAACTTATACATCTCATTATAAGTCTACAAAACACTTCCCCAAAACTTGTCTCTTTCAACACTTCCTCCGCAGCGCTCCACTTTACTTGATCATAGGTCTTGTCAAGGTCTGTCTTGACAGCTGCGTACCCTTTCCCACTCCTCAACCCTTTCATCATATGAATGACTTCCTAAGCTGTCAAAATATTTTCTTGTATATGTCTATCAGGCACAAAGCTAACTTGATTTGGAGCCATCAACCTTGGCGGCAAGTGTTTAGGCTGATTCACAATAATCTTTGGCACACACTTGTAAAGTACGTTACACAAGCCAATGTCTTACATTTTTTAATTGAAAGAGTAAGATTTTTTTTTCTTTTTTAAGCCAGAGCTAGGAATTAAGAGATTTTTTTTTTGGAGAATGACAGATAGATTTCAAAGAGGCCAATTAATTTAAATTAGGCCTCGAATATTAAATTTTAAGAATTTATAAGTCTGTCTCTTAATTTTATAATTTTGTTGATATAAATTTATAATTTATTTTTAAAATTTTAACATGATTGAAAAATAATTAAATTTATTTTTTTTGTTAAAATTTAGAACACAAATTATAATTTTATCACAATGAAGTTGCAAAATTAAAAATTAAACTTATAAATTTTTAAAGTTTAACATTTAAAATTTAATTTAAATTAATTAATTTTTTTGAAATCTCTCCATTGTTTTCCTTTATTTTTCCTTGGTTAGGGTTAAGAGATTCAATTAGCTTGGACTTCTCGAAAACAAGACTCAATTTGTACAAGCAGATCACGTATTTAATTCAGTCAGTCAAATGCGTGAACCCAATTCTACAATTTAGAATTGGCGTTTGACTTGCTTCGTTACTTGAACTTTCGTGTCCCGCTTGCCTTTTTCCCTTTATTTTTTTTTTTATTTTATAAACATGCTTTTCCTCTTTTTAAATATGTTTCTTTCCGGAGAACTAAAAGGTTCAATAAATACAATTCTTGATGTTACATTCACTGCAATTTTATTACCGTCCAATTAATTAGTTAATAAAGTTCTTGGGCTCTGCCCTATATTCTTAAAAATAAAAAATCACCGCAATTTTCATTAGAAATACTATAGCATTATAAAAGTGCCTACTCTACAACACAATAATCATCAAATATACAATTATTTTTATTTTTGTGAATATATATAATTATTAAAATATTAATTTTTTTAATGTTTTTGTAAGAAACTAAATCCTTGATATTAAGTTTTTTACAAGGTCAAGAGTGATAACACTAAAAGATATGCCATAATATTTATTTCAATTCAATAGTAATTATTCTTATTCCACTGCTTATTTACTATTAATTGTTTTTTATAAATATTAATTCACTAGTTTTCTGTTATGTATAGTAATATCTAAGAAAAGAATTTTGAATCACCACGTGGATGAATCTAATGTGCAAGATGAAATCTAGATAGCATAAGATATGTATGAAATCGATGCTAAACTTGCAAAATGGCCTTTAAAGGTCATTTTTTTAATACAAGAATATGATCTAAGTTGTGTAAAAAAATAACAAATTAGATTAGATTATAGTTCAGAAAGATCTTGTATCCAAAAAGTGAATCTTGTAAAATCGTGTTGTGTTGAATATGTTATGATCAGTATAATAACGGAGCAAGCAAATCAGCATAACTGTTAATTTCTCTAAGCATAGAATCAAAGGGATCGACCCAGTCTTGGTCTTGAGTTTTTAATGTTAGCAAGATCTGAGGTGATTTGAATGGAGGGATAGTACGGAAGTTGGAATCATCCAATGAACTTAGACTCTTTGTCGAGGTCACGAGGAGGGAATCCCACCAAAGCAGCAAGTAAAGTTCAATCTTTTCTTTGCCCAAACATAAAGAGAACGTTTATCTTTAGAATCATTCCATTTTCACATGTAGAGTACAAGGAATTTAACAGTAAAAATTAGTACAGTTGGTAATAATTTAATCCATAACTTGAATCAAATTTTGTTACTGATATAAAGATTTTATTGATAGACATTTTATAAGTATTCTTGTAAATGCTCTTTACATTTGAAAAATATTCTAATTGAAATTCAATTCACTTAGATTTTCGTAAAGAATATAAAACAATTGAAATAATTATATATATATATATATATATTGCAAATATTCTCTCTATCATTCAATAGAAAGTTATATTTTTGTCAATAATAATATATAATAATGTTCGCTGAGATAGATGTAAATTACAGAATTTTTCATCTTTTAAGTAAATAGTTAGTAAAAGATTTTTTTAAAAAAATAAATATAATTAAGTGTTTGATTCTCAACTTTTATATGGAGAACAAACTTTTATTTTTCACCTTTCATGTTCCAAAGACTCTTTTCTCAACGAAAAACAATTATAATTAGAACAGTTAACATGCTATCCTTTTTAGCTTTATATTTTTCAAAAGTAAAGCTTGAAAAGGTAGATGATTTTGGTACAACAGGACTTTTAGCCCTACTCTTATAAAGCCTGCAAAAATTAACTTGAGCTCGGGCTAGCCATTAATCTTATATACTTTTTTTGTGACTTTATTTATATAATTTAAAAATTTTGAATTAATATATGAGAATAATATAATTTGTTAAATATTTATTCTGGACAATGAAGATGAAGTTAGCGAGGTTGTTGAAATAGTATCACTTCTTCTAAGTAAAACTCCTTTTGAAGGGTCTAATATTTTGTTTTTGAATGAAAATCAATGATAATAAAAACTAAAGAACATTTATATTTTAAATATTTAATTAAGGTACTTTGTAATTTACATATATATATATATATGTATGTATTAGTATAGTTATAAATTTTAATTTAAAAATAAAAAATTATATGGACTTTTGGGCCCTATCTTGAGCTTTGTTAATAAGAGATAAGTTTAAAAGTAATGTCGACTTTAAAATAAGAGGGCATATGGGCTGAAACTTTTAAAATCCATGCTTATAATGGTCAGTTTTATAAGGGTTAGGCTAACTCTTATTAACAAATTTACTTATAATTCCTCAAAAAACTAATAATAATAAAAAAATTATTTTCATAATCATTTGATATGCGATGCACATACCAATTTTAATTAAAAAAATAAAGCTTTTATGAAAAGTTCGCATCCTTACATTTTCACAACCAAATTGAGGGAAAATTGTTATAAAATCTAAGCAAAATTGAAGGACCTAGCTAAATATAATTAATATTCATGAAACAATCTAAGCAATTGACCGAAATGCTCGTCTATGTTAATTAACAAAATTAAAAAAAATGCACAAAATCTAATTGTTGGAGCTTCGACTGGTGAAGGGTTGTCAATAAAAGTTAATATCCATTGATTATATGGTAAGTGGTAACTAAGAAAAAGTAACATTTTCATGATAACTATCAAAGAATATATGAACAACTAGAGGTAACATAAATGTCAATGCCTGTACCAATTTTACATCCCAAGCATATCAACTTGCACCCAAAATCTATCATCTTGCACCTCATATACCCTTACACCCTAAGCCTATTACAGCGCACCTTGTACTCTAAGCTTATAAGTTTACACATAAAGTCTATCACTTTGTATCTTACGCCTAAAGCCTATTACCTTATACTTCAAGCCTATACCTTTGTATGGCAAGCTTATTACTTTGCACTTTGCCCTCTGAGCCTATACCCCTGCATCCCAAACCGATAAGCTTACAAGTAAAGCCTATTACCTTGTATCTTACACTCAAATATTATACCATTGCACTTTATACTCTAAGCATATACCTTTGCACCTAAAGCTTATACCTTTATACCTAAAGCTTGTTCCCTTGCACCTTATATCCTAAACCCATGCCCTTGCATCGTAAACCTATTCCTTTACATCATGCACCCAATGCTCATGCTGTTGCAACGTAAGCCTACCCCCTTACATCTTACACCTTAAGTTTATAACCTTGCACTCTAAACTTATTCCTTTACATCGTAAGCCTATCTCCTCACACCTTGCACCCAATGCCTTTGCCCTTGCACTATAAGCCAAATAACCTTGCACTCCAAGCTTATATGTAAAAGTCAAATGTTTTTCAATATAACATATAATGTTTATATGTAAATATATGTTTTTCATGTAAAAGTCATATGTTAGGTTTGATCTCTTCCGCTTTCAATATAACATATAATGTTTATATGTAGATATATGTTTTTCATGTAAAAGTCATATGTTAGGTTTGATCTCTTCTCGGAAATTGATTTTTCATTTTTCATAAAAACATATTGTATACCATGTAATTATAGATGACTTGAGATCATATACCCTTTATTTTCAAGAAAACTTGTTGTATATATGTAATTATTGACAACTAGAAATCATATGCCCTTTATTTTTATGAAAACACGGATATATCTTGAAAATGATAGTGATGATATTGAGAAGTTAACTACAAACGTCCCCAAACAGGAAAACACAAGTAATATAAGCTAGTAATACCTATTCATTACACAAATTTAGAACAAACACCTATTCATAAGCTAGTAATATCTTCCTTTGCATCAAAATCACCAGCACTTTTGACCAAACATTGTTGAAGTCAACTACAACATGTGAGGGGAAAAAATGAAGAACCTTGAGAGATAATGCTCTCCCATCCCATCTATTAGGAAACAATGCAGTGAGCGGCTTCTTGATGCATATGTAAGTCCACACGAGTTTACAACTTTAATTCGATTCCGTTCAAGCAAGATCTCCTGTAGATTTGTTAAGGTCTGCAGATTCTCCATTACCTGAATTAGAAGTGCAGATAAATCAAAATCCATGCCGTGTTACATTCAAGCATTAGATTTTTATCCAAAATGAAATGATTACCCAAAAACCAAGCTTGCCGTCTAAGTCAATACATAAGCAGAAAACAATATCAGTACCATCTGATCAATCAGCTCCAATGATCGGAAATCTCAAAAACAAAAGGGACCAAAACAAGGTTCTGCAAAGTACTCTGCAGTGTCATAGTATGACATTTCATCTTCATCCGACGCTTCTTCCATCTCTTGCTTCTCAATATCTTCAGATCATTCAGTCGTGAACAACAAAAGAATATGAAAAAAAAAACTTTACGTAAAAGGTTGCAAACAAGTTCTATATATGTAAACAATTTTACCCAAAGGAATTTCCATATTTTTTATCAGAAAACAAACTAACGGTTCAAATTTATAAACAACATTCAATCACTACGGTTAAGGTTTTTAGTTGCAGTTTGCATCCATATCAATAAATATCCGTCATTTTCATAGATTCCCTCCTAAATTTATATTTATGAACTTTGATGTTGTATTGTGATATGATATTGTTGAGACAAGAGAACAAACAAAATCACCACTTGGATCAAGAAATGGTTAAGCAGAACAAATAATTTCACAAAGAATCTAGATATATAAGTACAAGAGCAAAAAACAACCAACGAACACGAGAATTCCTATACACCGGCAAAATCGTTTTCATTTAGTCAAAAACTAAAGCGGATAAGCTTGAAGCAGTTATCTTCACCCATGATCATCCTCTTACAATCATCATTTAGCAAGTCTATTTCATTCAAAAGGGTGAAAGAAAAAAGAAAATAAGGAAAAGAAACGTCCATGAGCTCATGTGCCAACCCAATTTTGATTGAGGCATATTCATATATTCCATTTCATTTCAGTTAATAAGATGCATAGTCCTTCCGAAACTCAGGAAGAGGGCAATGAGTTCGACATTTGGGAATCCCAATCTTTATCCGTCTTGTTCAAGCAATATATATCAGATGCAACTTGCAAGGATCAAAAGCATTGAGGCAAACTTCAAACTGGAACAATGAAGTAAGAGCTAAATGAACCACAACAGACTCGACAAATGCTCTATTAGTAATCACCAATTCCACCATGCAAAGCAAATAATTAGTATATTGTAACGATGGTAAAGCAAAGCAAGAGGTCAGAAATGGACAAGGTTCGCACCAATCAAGTGGTCGACACTCGCAAGACCGTGGGGTGACTCAGTCGAACCCTTATATTTAAGGTTTTTGGTAGCAGTTTGCATCCATATCAATAAATATCAGTCCTGGAAATGATATTACAGGTAAGGGTTAGAGGCGTGAGCTGCGCGTGACTGTGATGGCTTACTGATCAACATCCGTCATTGATCGTTTCTGGGTTCCGCCACAACTGATTCTTCATTCATTTCATCCCAGACACAAGAAACTCCGACGAAGATGACAGAAACAGCGCTGGAAAGATGATTGCAGTCGGATTAATTCGGCCTCGAAGTGGGTCCGATGGGTCTCGCGATGGCTTCTCGAAGACGATGCCTCTTCCGTTCACTAATTTCGCTGGTTAAAACAGAGGTGCATTTCGGTCATTTTCAAGAGGACATTTTTTGAATATTATAATGCATTTGATCTTCAAATTCTAGTTGTTACCTCACAACAATCTCCCTTTCAGGGAAGTGTTTTTAGCAATTTTCCCCAAATTGACTGTGAGTCCTGACGTGAAGTTCAGTGCTCTGCATGTCTAGAGAGCTGTACTTTGCATTGTCTGGTTCTAAAATTTGTGCGCAACTGTTTGTGTTCTGTTTAGCTATGGTAGGGTTTCATTAGGAGGCCCCAAAAAAAAAAAAACAGAGAGGAAAATATGAAAGAAAGAGTAATATAAAAGAAAACTTTTAAAAATAAAAAAAAATATTACTTTGGAGATTACCTATACTGCACGACAAGTTTGGCCGTGTAATTTTGGCAACTCTACTTTTTAAGTTTGGATCCCCTTTGAGCTCTGGTTTTTATTCTCCCGGAAACAGACAAAATAGCAGCGAGAAAAGAGATGGGAATCCGAGTTCGTTCACTCATTCGTCTCATGTTTATTGTTGTTTTTTTTTTTTTTTGGTGACCTGATAAACTGGGATGGCTTGAGTTCGAGATTGAGTGCGCTTGCCAGTCCTAACTTTTGAACATAAATGAATATATGATTTTTTGTTCACCTTAAAAAACCAAAACAGAGTTGTACAAACGCAAACAAGTTCCGGATCTTAAATAACAATTCAAAATTCAAAAGAGATTGGAGAGGCGGCGATCCAATCTGCACCTTCCCTTATGAAGATGATTAAATAATGACATGCGCTGCACACCACCTACTTTGATATTTTTCATGATTATTTTTTAATCGCCCTGCCCCTGGTTAACAATGCCACACCACATTTTAATCTTGATCTTCTCCATCTGTTTTCAACTTTAATCTTTTGTTTTGAATCTAACCACCCAACCTTTTTGTGATTTATTGTTGGTCCGTGGTTCCTCCATTTTTCTTTCCTTTTTGTTTTGGCCAAACAACCTTTTCCTTTATTGAAACACGATTTCTGGACTACCTTTAGGTCACATTTGGTTATTAGAAAGAAAAGAAATGAAATGGACTGAAAAAATAAACACAAAAATAAATTAAATAATTCCAACTCCTCATGATAATTATAATAAAAATCATTAATATATAGTATAAATGTGGGAATCATCACGCTCTTCAAAATTTTATGAATCATAACTTTCAACTTCATGAACTAAATTACCTTCTTCTTTTATAAATATAGTCCACTATTTTATTTGATTATATTATTTTTACTTTTATTTTTTCATTTCATTCCATTTTATTTTTTTCTAGTAACTAAATGTGACCTGGCTTCAGATTTAGTATACTGCTGTTCTGTGTTCATATCCGATCACACTGCTCTGGAGGCATTTGGATCCTCTCTTGATTTTCTCTCAAGCCATCTTTCCACACGTAATGCTAACCGTTTGATCAAAATAAATACAACTGCTTATGTGATTGAATCCAAATTCATACCAGCCTTAATCACATCAAAATTAATCCACCAACTGATGAAATTATATTCAAAATCTAATAGCCAAATGGCATGGGTCCACTCATAAATCATAATATTGAAATTTGGATTAACCCGTCTAGCTAAACTGGTAAATCAACATATTGATTGGTTTAATAAAATATTTTGTTTATGATTTATTTAATTATGATTTTAACCATTAATTTTTTTTGATATATTTAACCATTAATTCTTGAACTAGTATTTTGACTAATTTGTTGAAGTTCTCAATAATTTGGTTTAACTCAAAAAAGTTATGAATTTAATAATTTTATGAAAGCAACGAATTTAGATTTTTACATTTTAATCTGGTAATTAACATTGCTTACGGACAAACAGCTTGCAAAAAATATGAGGAGGGATCCAAATTTCAAACTTTGCAAGGACATACAAAACTACCTTCGCTTGTCGGTGCAAGAATTGGCGAGGGAGATAAAAATGTAACCATTTTAAAATTTTTAAACGTGAAAAAAAAAATATTCCAACACACACACACACACACACACAAACACAATCAATTTATATAAAATAATCGTGCTATTCAAAATTATAAATAGTATACGATTTTTTTTTATCACGGTACTCCTTACAACACCAGAATGGTTTTACTATATTATTTTGATCATATCTTGGTAAAAATATATATGTTATTTTTTTGATTATACTATATATATGCAAGATTATTTTTTTTTATTTGATAAATCATTCAAGATTCAATTAACTCTAAAAATAAAACTTAAATGATCTCCTTCAAAGCCCGCTGTGTATTGACTGATTCGATCCAACTTGCAAATGATGCTAGTTTGCTGCTAACTTGAAAGGGAAGTGAACGGGACATATTGAAAATAAAGTTTATATTATTTCATGTTTCAGGATCAATTATATAAGGTAATAGCTGAACGGAGTAACGTGATATTGTTCTTAAAAGCCCAGCGTCAAGGACGCTGCTACTGGTCGGGAGTGGGAAAAGTATCTTTGACCACAGAGAAGCCACCGTCAACCACCAAGTTATGCCCATTGACGTAAACAGAATCATCAGAAGCAAGAAACAACGCTGCTTCTGCAATATGGCTTGCCTTCAACACAACGCCCTTGAGCACAGCCTGAGACGAAGTGGCTTCTTCAACTTGTTCAGGCTCCAAATTGAAGGGTGAACATGCAAGCGGTGTGGCCACTCCAAAAGGAGACACACAATTAACCCTAATCCCATGACCCCCGAGCTCCCAGCACGCAGATCGCACCAGTCCTAGAAGAGCATGCTTCGACACCGTATAAGCATGAGGCCCGCATCCTGCCACACCAGCTGACACACTTGTCGTGCATATGATGGATCCTCGGATTTTCCTCTCGACCATCGTGCGAGCGGCGTGCTTGATTGTCGCAGCCGCACCTCGGACGTTGATAGCCATGATGTCGTCTAATCCCTTCATATCAAGATCCAGGATGCCGGATAGGGGTCCTAGAATTCCTGCGTTGCTGAACAGGATATCCAGGGTGCCGTATTTTTGAACTGTGTAATTAACTGTTTCTTCTACCTGCTTTTCGTCTCTTACGTCACAGTGATGGTAAGTTACTGTGTTTGAGGCAATGGAAGCGGCGACTTGTCGACCCAGTTCGTCTTGGACGTCTGCTGCCACTACCAGGGCTCCGTGTTCGGCGAATAGTCTCACTGTCTCTTCTCCGATTCCGCTTGCCGCTCCGGTGACTAGAGCCACCTTACCCTTCAACCTGTAGAATCAAAGTTCATAGAAAGAGAGAAGATCTGGGATCAGTGAAGATCAGTTTAATTTGGATATATAGGAAAAGTTGTCGTAAAATGGGTTGAGAGGGATGAAAAAGCTTTAACCTTAGATTCATGTCTCCAGACCTGCAAATGAGCTCCGAGATAAGCCGTTTATATTGGGGAGGATCACGAGTTTTGATTTTTTTTTCTTTGTTGGGTCTAAAATAATCTATAATCTAAGTTATCATGTACCTGGCGTTGGTTGGGATGAAAAATGATTTTATCTAAGGTATTATTGACCAATTTTATTAAGACTATAGTCAATTGCACTTATTTTCATCATTCATCCTAATTTTAATTTTTATAACCTTTTATAATAAATTTTAGTACTATTAGATCTATCTCCCTAATTTTTCCTTTATTTACTCCTCATGTCTCTTTTTTAAGTCTCTTTGTAATTAACTCGTCAAAATCAAAATCAAGGTGAATTAATGAGAATAATAAAATTATTCTAAAAATAAATTATTTTTTCATTTTATTTCTAGATTTTAAAAAGAGTAATTTGATGTGTGAATTTTTTTTAAAAAAATAAAATATTGTATTTTTTAAAATTTGTTCCATGATATTTTTAAACCTGTACATAAAAAATTTAAAAAAAAAAAAAGAAAAGGTGGGCTTACTTATACAAAATTGGCTTCCCTCCTCAAACCAACCATTCCTCCTCCCCTCCTCCTAACTTCTCCATATTTGGATTTCAAATTTTCAATGGTTGAGATTAATTGCATTATAAAATTATTATTCATTATAATATTAAATAATAAATAACTTAATAAATGTAAGTTGTTAAATTTTATAATATATTATTTAATATTACTCTCATAAATACATGGCTAAATTTATATTTAATATTATAATAGTAATTTTTTAATCCAATAAAACACAGCCATTGAAATTGATATTCAGGGTTGGAGAAGTTGAGAGGAGAGGAGGAAGAGGGATTGGCAAGGAAAGAGAAGCCAATTCCTACTGGTACAAACGACCACGAAAACCTTCTGGAGTTCTGGTGGTGACTAACCACCAAAAACAAAAGAAAAAAACAAAAGAAAAGAAAAGAAAAGAAAAGAAAAAAGAGGAGTACTTTGTTTTATTCTCAACGCCAAAACGTGGCCTTTGTAGTTTTCGTCTTTTCGAGACGAACGACGTCAATCACGTTTTTAAACTTTCTTAGTTTGCTCGGTAAGGCCCCTCCCCAAAAAAACGCATTTTGCAGATGGGGACCCCGTGATTTGAGGCTGATGATCCACATATACTTTTACTTTACGAGTGAATTTCTGGAAAATAAGCAGAGATATCTGGTACATCCAATCATTTTTTGGCATGCTACACCCAACAATTTTCATATAAATAAATTCAAATTTTATTAAATATATATATATATATATATATCTCGTGAAATAGACAAATTTCAATACTACAGAATTATACATATTTCATGATTATTTTTCTATATATTTGATAATTAAAAATCATCAAATAAGCCCTCATTATTTATGCAACTTTATATACTTAACAATTATTTTAACTGTCAAATACATTTCAATATACTTGATGGTTATTACTAGAACTACTACTGATAATAAAAACCAAGAGCATATTTGATGGTTATTTGTGAGAACTATCAAATATTGCCCATTATATTTGAAGGTTATTATATATTTGATGGCGATTCAAAATAACCATCAAATATGTTGTAGAATTTTTTTTAATGTGGAAGCTGTGTTTTGAGTAACCCCTTCCAACAAAATTAACATTTCACAACCATAACAATCCCAAACAATCCAGCAAACATTATCATCAACAACATTGTTTCAAAATTAAAAGAACACACACACACACACAAACATGCATTAATTGAAAACAAAAAAAATTACAAATTTTATTCTTAAATCACAATTCTATCCTAAAAAATGAAACAATAATTCTACCTTGAGTCACATTTTTTTTTGCTCCTAACTACACCAAACGTGCACTCACTAAGTATTAATGTGTGAATTTTGCATGATCTATAGTTGAAATATGTGTTGGCACCACTCTTCCATGATTTCATTGATGTAAGCATCCCAAATTCTTCACAATAAATGTTATCATAATACTGCATTTTAAATTATAACCACAACAAAGTTAGCTAACTAATGAAATTTTATCATATATAAAATGTATACTTAAATTAAATCTAAACATTGGTAGGGATTGAAGTCCTGGTGTGAGTGATAATGTCTTTAGTGAATCTCATCATGCAATATCCAGTATAGGTGTCAATCACAAACCATAGTTACCACAGTCATTAATTCGAACCTCAAACATTTGAACAAAAAATGAGAATGAATAGCTTAAAAACACATGGGAATTTTATCGGTCAATGCAGAACAAAACAAAATCAAAGTGCTCAAGTGGATTCCACTAAGCTAAAATAAGGGAACGCCTTTGATAGAATAAGAATGCGTTCATTCTTCACAAAGCAACAGCTTGATTGCTTGGGAAGGCTCTGATTCTTTACCAAGCTTTGATTAGCGGGCGATTTTGTGCTTGAAGAAGCTAGGGCAAAATTAACAATGGGATTTTCAGAAATCAATGCTTCTAGAGGAGTCAAAATTGCAGAGATATTTAGGTGGAGAAGAAATTTCAGAGAGAACCATTTTGGGTGTCTCGTTTAGCTGTTTGAAGCAATGCGTGATGAAGAGGTGGAATTGATTTTAAATTCTATAAGTTTGATGGTTTTAAAGTTTAACTGTCAAATATTATGTGATTATATTTGATGGTTTAGACTTTAACCGTCAAACTTATAGAAAGATATTTCTAAAAACTAAATAATTTAAATATTATAGCGTAAATTTAATGATTTTGACAATAACCGTTAAATATATTAATATATATATACATATATATATATATATATATTTCTATATATTTGAGGGGTTTTATTATAACCATCAAATATTTGTCTACTCATTTTTTGCGTACCCTTATTCAACAGATTTTCTGATAACTATCAAATATGTATGCATCAAATATCATAAAATTTGTAGTGGTGTTTACAAGTAAATTTCCAAGTCCAAAGGGATTTAAATGTGATTTAAAATTATAGTGAAAAAAATAATACTTTTATTTGTAACGCGTGATCAATTTAATTATTGAATATATGAAATTACAACTGTAAAAAATTGAAGTGACAATTGCAATCAGTTTAACTATTATATATGTAAAGTTATAGTTGTAAAATATTAAAGTAATAGTTGTAAATTATTGATAGAATAGTTGTAAATTACTTGATTGACATAATATATTTTTAATAGAAACATTATTATCTTTACACTCCAATTTTAAATTACACTCAAGTCCCAAAAAAATTGCTTGTAGTTTTTAAATTTCATGAGCATATAGATTGTCTTGGGGACCTTACATGCTACAATTGTAGAATGTTGATTGGTTTGAGTCCACCCATGGAGCCATTACGAGATGATTTTCCAATATCTTTCTCTTAATGCTTAATCAAGCTTTAAGCCACTGAAAGCTAAGGAACAGATGCTATAAGATAGGAGTAAGCGATGCGACGGGGAAGGAGAGGAAGGAGGAGGGGTCATACCATTGTAGGGGTGTGGAGGAAGGAGGGTATTTTAGTACGTTTAATTACAACTAAAGTCCATGAAACTTTAAGTTGTGTTTGGATGGATGGATTTGGGTTGGGAATTTAGATTTGAATCTTATATTTAAAATTCATAGATTTTAAATTCTTTTGTTTGAATGATATAAAAAATTCTTAAATAAAATTTCAAATTTCAAAATCTATGCTTAAATTTAAAAGCAACTCAGATGATGTTAGCGGTTCAATCCCAATTAGGGAAGCAACTCAATCTCAGTTGGCTCTGACTATCCATACTAGTCCTTAAAGCCGATAACAACGACAAACTAACACTGGTTGGATGCGATAGACCAGCATCGAATGGTGGTAAGGGACCAACACCTGATGATGACATTGGACTAGTATCGAATGATGACGATGATGGCAAACCAACATTGGGAAATGATGGACGATGGTCCTAACAATCCAATCCTCGTGGGCACCGGCAGTCTGATCCAGGTCATTGTCGATGGTCTAGCCTTGGTTTGCATTAGCCATTTAATCTTAGTTTGCCTTCGCCCTTTTGTACCAGTTACAGTTGGCTTTCTGGTCCTGGTCAAATCAAAATTACAAAGGAATTGAGGTAAGATTTGAATTTGAATTTGGATCAAATCAAAATCCACACATTTTTAATTACCCAAATAATGAATTTGGCTGAAATTCAAATTCAAGTTTTACCTTAGTCTCTTTGTAATTTGAAATCCTTTCTAAACCTCTATTATTTTAAATCCTAATTCAATCTCTTTTGTAATTTAATCAAAATCCATAAAGATTTGATTGGCCCGTCAATGGTAATTGGACCGAACTGCCAAAGTTGATGGAAACAAGTCACCATCGTTGACTAGGACTAAATGGCTGACTTCTACCGGGAACTGACTGACAGTGACAATTGGGACTAGATCGGACTGATGACAACAGATATGACGAGAATCAAACGGCCGATTTCCACCGAGATTGGATCGGTGGCAATGACAGGGACCGAATGGCCGACTTCCACTTAGACCAGACCGACGACGACGACCTGGACAAGATTGGATTAACAATAATGGCGGCGATGGTAATCGAACGGTCAATTTTCACTAAGATCAGACTGTCGACATCCACCGAGACAAGACCTACCATGATAATGGGGACTGGATGACAAACTTCCATCGAGACTAGACCAATGACGATGATCGAGAGCAGATGATCGACTTCAACTAAGACTGGACCGACAACAACGACTGAGATTGGATGGCCTACTTCCACCAGGATTAAATCTACGGTGAAGATGAGGACCAGACGACCTATTTTTGCGAGGATCAAACCAACTATGACGACCAAGATGGGATCAAACTAATGGTAACGGCGAGGAGGGGGACCGGATGATCGACTTCCACTTGGATTGGATTGACGGGGACGGCCGAGACTAAACCAAATCGACGACGATGACCAACTTCCACTAAAGGTTGACTTCTATAGGGACCAAGGCAATGGAGGTGACTGAGACCAAACGGCCAACTTTCATAAGGACCAGACCGACAACGACGACCATTTGATCCCTATCATCATTATAGATTTGGTCCCAATAGAAGTCGGCCGTCTAGTCC